GGAGCAGTAGGGGATGTGACACCGGAAGGAGGAATTGGAGTAGCTGAGGCAGGAACCACGAGCCAGGGGATGCGTGGTGCCCTCGAAGCTGGGAAAGCAGGAGACACATCCCTCCCCGGATCCCCCGAAGGATGCAGCCCTGCTCACACCTGGACTCACACCTGGTGACCCTGATTCGGCTTCTGGCCTCCAGCATAGAAGAGGATAGATGTGTGTGGAGTCAGGGCACGAGATTTATATGCTTTGATACAGCAGCCCCAGGAACTGACTCGTGAAATGGCATCTTGACATTAAATGTTATTGGGTTTCACTTTACAATTAGTTTCAAGCCAGATTCTTAGGCCATTCTTCTTTGTGGAGAAGACCTGGGGCGTTGAGATGGCTCTCGAGAAGTGCTGAGTGTCCTTGGAATTCGGTCAACAAAGATGAAGGAGTCCCGGTAGCCCAGCTGTAGGGTTTGCTCATTGGGGTGTGTTTTGAGGACTCACCTGACCGTGTAGCTGCAGGGGCCCCAGCACAGGGGCTGGGGTGTGGTGTGCCCTGAACCAACACTATTGGAGCAGGAGCTGGAGGACAGCAGGAACGGTCTCCGTGCTCGACATGGACCGTGTGACTCAGGAGGGATGCTCACCCTCCTGTGTGATGGGGCCCCTGCATTAGAATAAAGACACAGCATCACGCACATCCTCAGAGAGACGCTGAGTTGCAGGGGCTGAACTGGGGGAAATGCTTACCCACAGGACAAACCACCAGGGATCCTGAGGTCTGGGTCTCATCTCTTTAGATGGAAAAGGGACATTTTTACAAGGCCTCTTTTTCTTTTAAGGTTTTTGTGTTAGTCAGGGTTCCCCAGAAAAACAGAACCATTAGAATGGATGTGTATATATACATGTGAACATATATACCATATATACATAAGTGTATATAACATATAACATATGTAATAATGTTACAGTATGTTTAAATTCATCTTTTTACTGCTTGTTGCTATTTTCTTTTCCGTGACCAATCTCAAAGCACAAATAACATTTTTTCCTTGGCACTCTAACAAGTAGTCTTGTGGCTGAAGACTAAGTGGTTCCGATTACTAAGCTAATGTGATACAAGATGTATAATTTAGTTTACAAAGTATAATACTTCGAATTTTTATACTAATTTTTAAAGAATACAAACTAAGGTCTTTTTTATTTAAATTTTTAAAAATATTTTTATTTATTTTTGAAGGAGAGAGAGAGACAGAGCATGAGCAGGGGAGGAACCGAGAGAGAGGGAGACACGGAATTTGAAGCAGGCTCCAGGCTTTAAGCTGTCAGCACAGAGCCCGATGCGGGGCTCGAACTCACTAACTGTGAGATCATGACCTGAGCTGAAGTCGGATGCTTAACCGACTGAGCCACCCAGGCGCCCCCAAACTAAGGTCCTTAAAATACACACCCAGAAGAGAAAAGTGGCTATGCAAACCAGTACCAAAATAAAAAGTAGATTATTTTCTACAACAGCCCATGGACTTACCCCTGCTCTCAGCCTTGGGGACAGAAGCCGGAACTGGAGATGGCAGGGGGGATCTTCATGTGGCCATAGCAAGTGAGGATGATCACAACAACCCCAGCGACATGCTCGCCACCTGCTCCTTGTGTGACCCTACATCCACTCGTCAGTTCCTTAACCTGTGCCACAAAGCACTTCAAAATTCAGGTGAGAAGCGCCTGGTGGCTCAGTCAATTAAGCATCACGTCTCAATGTAGACACTACCAATTGCCAAAGTCTCTAAATTGCAGGCTGGGTCTGTGACTCACCCTTAGCTTCTGCAGATCCCTAGGCTGCCCTCATCACACCTCTGACCGCTGTGTATTGTCATGTTTGTTTATATGACAGGTTCTCTCAATGGACCATGAAAAGGGGAGAGCAGAGACCTAGTCCTGGGTCATTGCTAGATCCTAGCACCTAGAATATTTCCATACAAAATAAGCCTGGAAGAACATTTCTTTTTTTTTTTTAATTTTCTTTAAAATTTATTTATTTTTGAGACAGAGAGAGACAGAGCATGAACAGGGGAGGGTCAGAGAGAGAAGGAGACACAGAATCCAAAACAGGCTCCGGGCTCTGGGCTGTCAGCACAGAGCCTGACACGGGGCTTGAACTCATGAGCCGTGAGATCATGACCTGAGCCGAAGTCAGATGCTTAACCGACGGAGCCATTCAGGCGCCCCTGGAAGAACATTTCTTGACTATACATATGCTAAATGAAGGCAAAGTATTGTGAGAACAAAGAGCACTCCTTTCTGCTCATGATCAGGAGCTATGACTGCTACGTGGCCATCTGCTACCCCATGTGCTACAGTATGCTCATGAGTTCCTGTGGCTGTGCTGTCCTACATCCCAGGGCTGGGCTGGTGGCTCAGCTGGGAATGATAATGACCCCAGTGGTTTTTCATCTCACTTTATGTAGGTCTTGTGTGATCCACCATTTTGTCATGCTGGTTGACATGCTCTCCACCCGCCGCACCATCACCTGGACGGCCTGTGCCAGCCAGATGTTTTTCTCCTTCACGTTTGGCTTCACACACTCCTTCCTGTTCATGATCATGGGCTACGACCGCTACGTGGCCATCTGCCACCCCCTGCGCTACAATGTGCTCATGAGCCCCCGTGGCTGTGCCCGCCTCGTGTCCTGGTCCTGGGCTGGTGGCTCGATCATGGGGATGATGGTGACCCTGATAGTTTTTCACCTCACCTTCTGTGGGTCTAATGTGATCCACCATTTTGCCTTCCATGTATTTTCCCTCTTGAAATTGGCCTGTGGGAAAGAAACAGCCTCCGTCACCTTGGCTGTGATCCTGGTGTGTGTCTCAGCTCTGATGGGCTGTTTATTCCTCATCGTCCTCTCCTATGTCTTCATCGTGGCCGCCATATTGTGGATCCCCTCTGCTGAGGGCAGGCACAAGACCTTCTCCACGTGTGTGTCCCACCTCACGGTGGTCATTGTGCACTACGGCTTTGCCTCCATTATCTACCTCAAGCCCAAGGGCCCCCATTCTATGGACAGTAACACCCTGATGGCCACCACCTATATAGTCTTCACCCCTTTCTCAGCCCGATCATTTCAGCCTCAGGAATAAGGAGATCAAGAACGCCATAATGAGGACCTTCCATGTTTTCATGTGTATGTTAGTCATCTGGTGTCTTCTTTAGAAAAGTCTTCTCATGTCTTCTACCCATTTCTTAACTGGGTTGTTGTGTTTTGGGTGTTGAGATTGATAAGTTTTTAAATTTTTTGTAATGTTTATTTATTTTTGAGAGAAAGAGAGAGAGAGAGAGAGAGACAGAATGTGAGCAGGGAGGGGCAGAGAGAGAGGGAGACACAGAATCCAAAGCAGGTTCCAGGCTCTGAGCCATCAGCACAGAGCCTGATGCAGGCCTTGAACTCATGAACCGTGAGATCACAATCTGAGCTGAAGTCAGGTGCTTAACCAACTGAGCCACCCAGGCACTCTGAGTTCGATAAGTTCTTTATGGATTTTGGATATGATTCCTTTATGAGATATGTTATTTGCAAATATCTTCTCTCATTCCATAGGCTGCCTTTTGGTTTTGTTGATTGTTTCCTTCTCTGTGAAGAAGCTTTTTATCTTGATGAAGTCCCAATGGCTCAAATTTGTTTTTGTTTCCCTTGTCTTCAGCAATGTATCTAGTAAGAAGTTGCTATGGCCAAGGTGAAAGAAGTTGCTGTCTGTGTCCTCCAGGGTTTTGATGGTTTCTCATCTCATGTGTAGGTCTTTCATCCATTTTGAATTTATTTTTGTGTCTGGTGTAAGAAAGTGGTACAGTTTCATTCCCCTGCATGTTGCCATCCAGTTTTCTCAACACAATTTGTTGAAGAGACTGTCTTTTTTCCATTGGATATTCTTTACTGCTTTATCGAAGATGAGTTGGCCATAGAGTTGTGGGTCCATTTCTGGGTTTTCTATTCTGTTCCATTGATCTATATGTCTGTTTTCCTGCTAGTCATATTGTCTTGATGCCTAGGGGTTTGTAATATAACTTGAAATCTGGAATTGTGATGCCTCCAGTTTTTTTTCTTTTTCAGGATTGCTTTGTCTATTTGCAGTCTTTTGTGGTTCCATACAAATTTTAGGATTCTCTATTCTAGCTCTGAGAAGAATCCTGGTGATATATTTTCCTAGGAATTGCATTAAATGTGTAGATGGCTTGGGTAGTACACACACTTTAACATTGTTTGTTCTTCCAATCCATAAGCATGCAATGGTTTTCCATTTCTTTGTGTCTTTTTAAATATCCTTCATAAGTCTTCTATAGTTTTCAGAGTACAGATCTTTTACTTCTTTATTAGGATTATTCCTAGGCATCTTATTGTTTTAGTGCAATTGTAAATGGGATTGACTCCTTGATTTCTTTTTCTGATGCTTCATCATTGGTGTATAGAAATGCAACAGATTTTTGCACATTGATTTTATATGCTCAATATCGCTCATCATCAGAGAAATACAAATCAAAACTACAACGAGATATTACTTCACACCTGTCAGAATGGCTAAAACTAACAACACAAGAGACAACAGGTGTTGGCAAGGATGCAGAGAAAAGGGAGTCCACTTGCACTGTTGGTGGCAATGCAAACTGGTGCAACCACTCTGGAGAATAGTATGGATGCTCCTCCAAAATTGAAAAATACAACTACCCTACAACCCAGCAATTGCCCTATTGCCCAAAGGACACAAAAATACAAATTTGAAGGGGTACATGCACCCCAATGTTCATAGCAGCAGTATTAACAATAGTCAAATGATGGAAAGAGCCCCAATGTCCATCAACTGATGAATGAATAAAGATGTGGAATATTGCTCATACACAATGGAATATTACTCAGCCATCCAAAAGAATGAAATCTTGCCATTTGCAACAATGTCGATAGAGCTAGAGTGTATTATGCTAAGTGACATAAGTCAATGAGAGAAAGACAAATATTGTATGATTTCACTCATATGTGGAATTTAGAAACAAAACAGGGGTGCCTGGGTGGCTTAGTCAGTTGGTCATCCGACTTCAGCTCAGGTCATGATCTCACACTTTATGAGTTTGAGCCCTGCATCAGGCTCCATCCTGACAGTGCAGAGCCTAGAGCCTGCTTTGGATTCCGTGTCTTCCTCTCTTTCTCTGCCCCTCCCCCACTCGCTCTGTCTCTCTCTGTCTAAAAAATAAATAAAGATTAAAAAAATTTTTTAAAGAAACAAAACAGAGGAACACATAGGAAGGGAGGGAAGAGAAGGGGGAGAAACAAACCATAAGAGACTGTTAATGATAGAGAACAGACTGAAGGTTGATGGAAGGAGGTGGGTGGGAGATGGATAGACGGGTGATGGGCACTAGCAGGGCACTTGTGATAAGCACTGGATGTTGTATGCAAGTGATGAATCACTGAGTTCTACTCCTGAAGCCAATATCGCACTGCATATTAATAACTAAAAATTAAATTTAAAAAAAAAGAAAAGCTTCCAGAGAAAATTCAGTCCCTTAAGCTACTGTTGGCCAGTTTAGTGATGAAGAAATATGGTAGAAGGCCTGAGAACAATAACATCTATCTCCACAGGAATGTTGTAGAGTTTCAGTCTATGAAAATACACATATCCATAGATGTTGGATGCTGGGTATTTGTTTTTCCCCAATTTTTACACCCCTCTTGCATGGGATCTAGTGGCCATGATCTCTTGTTCTTGACCCCATGTGATGAACTCCTTCCCATTACTCTGTCTAAGGATGTGTTGTCTCTCTATGGACCAGTGGGGAGCATCACATGGATGTGTCTGGGCAATAACGCACAAGGTCTTCTTGAATGTTCATGCAAGGGAAGATTTTCCCCTCCTCCAACATAAGGATAAAGAAAATTAAGCAGAGTAATAATATCTGACCCCAGAATTGACCCTTTTCATATCAAGCTATTCATCCAGTGGTTTATAGTATTGTCTTTTAGAGTATGACAAATGCACAAAAAAAATTAAACTATTAGTATCTAAGAAGATGATTTGTTGTTTACAATTCCTCACTACCTTGGAAGGGATAGACCTTAAGGGAGGATTTCTGTATAACATAGGGTTCAGGGATGCCTGAGTGGCTCAGTTGGTTAGGCGTCCGACTTCAGCTCAGGTCATGGTCTCACTGCTTGTGAGTTCGAGCTCCGTGTCGGGCTCTGTGCTGACAGCTCAGAGCCTGGAGCCTGCTTCAGATTCTGTCTCCATCACTCTGCCCCTCCCCTGGCCATTCTCTCTCTCTCTCTCTCTCTCAAATATGAAAATAAAACTTAAAAAGAATTTAAAAAAATAGGGTTCAGAGGGTGAAGCAGAGAGGGGAAGGGAGAGACACCAGAAGAGAGAGAGAGAGAAAGATAAGTAGTGGGATAGGAGTCCTGAAAATGATCTGAACAAGAAGTTGGATAAAAGTGCATATGGGGCAAAATCTGGAAAAAGCATGAAAATGAGAAGGAAGTTGGTAACAGCACAATTTTCACATGAGGAAGGGAAAGGGAAGGGAGAGTGAGAGAGAAGGAGAAGGGGAGAGGAATAGGGAGGAAAAGAGAGACAGAAAGGGGAGGGGGATCAGTGCTTGGATAAGAACATAAAGCATGTTAAAAGGGTGTTGCTTTGCACTCTCAACAATAGCTAAATTATGGAAAGAGCCTAAATGTCCATCAACTGATGAATGGATAAAGAAATTGTAGTTTACATACACAATGGAATACTACGTGGCAATGAGAAAGAATGAAATATGGCATTTTGTAGCAACATAGATGGAACTGGAGAGTGTTATGCTACGTGAAATAAGTCATACAGAGAAGGACAGGTTCCATATGTTTTCACTCTTATGTGGATCCTGAGAAACTTAACAGAAGACCATGGGGGAGGAGAAGGGAAAAAAAAGTTAGAGAGGGAGGGAACCAAATCATAAGAGACTCTAAAACACTGAGAATGAACTGAGGGTCGATGGGAAGGTGGGAGGGAGAGGTGGGTGGGTGAGGGGCATTGAGGAGGGCACCTGTTGGGATGAGCACTGGGTGTTGTATGGAAACCAATTTGACAATAAATTTCATAAAAAAAGAACATAATCACAGATATGTCTTTATATAACAGGTTAGTTTGCATATGTACATTTCTGTGCTGTTAGCTGAAAAGCCACCAAATAAATGATAACCACTAGCAAAAAAAAAAAAAGAAGAAGGGTGTTGCTTTCTGACAGGTTATGGAAAGTCTTTTCCCTTTTTC